GCCTAGTTTGTCTAGATTATCCAAATTAGATTGTGAGTCATCTCAACTTGGGAAAACACACTCGTGCTACATTTTCACGTAGTACTGAGGGTCGCTCAAAGAGTTATTTTTCATTAGTTCATTATTATATTTGGGGTACTAGTAGAGTCGGTTCCACCTTAGGATTTTGTTAGTTTCATTGATGATTATTTGAGATACACTTCGGTTTTCTTAATGAAAGATCATTCTGAGTTATTTTCTATATTCAAAAGTTTCTTTGCTGAAATACAAAATCAGTTTGGTGTTTTCATTCGTACTTTTCATAGTGATAATGCCTTAGAATACTTATCATCCAGTTTCAGGAGTTCATGTCTCACTAAAGAATTATTCACCAAACATCTTATCCATACACTCATCAGCAAAATGGTATAGCAGAGAGAAAGAATAGGCATCTCATTGAGACTGCTCACACTCTCCTTATTGAATCGTATTTTTTGCTGCTTTTTTGGGGTGATGCAGTCGTTTCATCTTGCTATTTAATTAATATAATGCCCTCTTCTATTCAGAATCATGTTCCACATTCCATATTGTTTCCCCAGTCTTATCTCTGTCCAATCCCCCCTCGTGTCTTTGGGAGCACATGTTTTTTTCATAATTTAGCACCACGGAAATATAACTTAGCTTCTGTGCCCTCAAATATGTCTTACTTAGTTACTCTCGAGTTCAAAAAGGGCATTGTTGTTATTCACATGATCTTCATCGATACCTTATGTTCGCTGATGTTACATTTTTTGAGTCTCAACCTTACTATAAATCTTTGATCATCCTTATGTATCTATGGTCTTACCCATACGTTAGGTACCTGTGCCAATCTTTGAGGAATCTACGGTTACTTCTATCTCCAGATGTTGTTTCACCACTACTAACTTATCATCGCCGTCCACGTCCATCCCTAGTCCCTGATGATTCATGTCATACGCCAGAACCTGCTCCTATTGCAGACTTGTCTCCTAGCCAACCGCTTGCACTTCAAAAATATATACGATCCACTCGAAATACTAGTCCACATTATACCTTCTTAAGTTATCATCGTCTATCATCACCCCATCATGCCTTTGTGTCATCTTTGTCCTCTATTTCCATTCCTAAGACTGCAGGTGAAGCAATTTTTCATTTTTGGATAGATGCAGACAATGGTTGATGAGATATATACTTTGCATAAGAGTGGTTTTTTGGGAGCTTGTCTCCCTTCCTACTAGTAAATCTATTGTTGGTTGCGGTTGGGTTTATGTAGTCAAAATTGGTCCAGACGGTCACATTGATCGACTTAAGGCTCACATTGTTGCTAAAGGGTTTACTCAAATATTCGGGCTAGATTATAGTGACACTTTTGCTCATGTGGCTAAAATAGTTCTATCTATGGCTGTCGTTCGTCATTGGCCTCTTCATCAGTTGGACATTAAGAATGTTAATCTTCATGGTGATCTTGAGAAAGAAGTCTATATGGAACAACTACCTGGTTTTGTTGCTCAGGGGAGCCTAGTAGCTTTGTATGTCGATTGCGTAGGTCACTCTATGGTCTGAAACAGTTTCCTTGAGCTTGGTTTGGGAAGTTCAACATAGTAATTTAGCAGTTTGGCATGACTCATAGTGAAGCTGATCAGTCTGTGTTTTATCGGCATTTTGTACCAAGTCGATGTATCTATTTGGTTCTTTACGTTGATGATATTATTATCACCGGTAATGATCAAGATGGTATCACCAATTTGAAGCAAAATCTCTTTAAGCACTTCCAAACTAAAGACCTTGGCAGATGGAAGTATTTTCTAGGTATTGAGATTGGTCAGTCCAGATCAGATATTGTTATTTCTCATCACAAGTATGACTTAGACATTATTGAAGAAACAGGAATGATGGGATGTAGACCTATAGACACTCATGTGGATCCCAATGTTAAAATCCTTCCAGGATAGGGGGAGCCACTTAGTAATCCTGAAAGGTATAGACGGCTTGTTGGAAAGTTGAATTATCTCATAGTGACTAAACCTGACATCTCTTTTCCAGTGAGTGTTGTAAGTCAGTTTATGAATTTTCCTTGTGATAGTCATTGGGAAATAGTTGTTTGTATTTTGCGATATATAAAGTCAACTCCCGATAAAGGACTACTCTTTGAGGATCAAGGTCATAAGCATATAATTGGATATACAGACGCTGATTGGACAGAATATCCAGCAGGAGACTACAACTTGTGAGCTAGTTTGGATCAAACAGTTGCTAGGAGAACTAAAATTTGGCAAAGTTGATCAAATGGAACTTGTGTGATAATCAAGCGACTCTTCATATCACATCAAATCCAGTGTTTCATGAAAGGACTAAGCACATTGAGATTGACTGTCACTTTGGTCCGAGAAAAGATACTCTCAAAAGATATTGTTATGAAATTCGTGAAGACAAATGATTAGCTTGCAGATATGTTCACCAAGTCCTCCACAGGTCCTTGTATTAATTACATTTGTAATAGGCTAGGTCCATATGATTTATATGCACCAGCTTGAGGGGGAGTGTTTAGAATAGAAATAAGTATTTTCTACTAAAAATAGGAATTTGAATAGGAATCCTAGTCGGAAAAGGATTCTAATGTAGTGTCTATAAATAGGGTCTCAATGTTACCATATTTTTTTCCATATATTTCTCACAAAGATAATTTAACAACACTAACAACATACATGTGTAGTCCCACACAGTTGGGTCTGGGAGAGTAGTCTGTACGTAAATCTTACTTATACCTCAGAGGTGATGTAAAGAGGTGTTTCCAATAGACCCCCAACTCAAGAGAGAGACAGACTAGGAACAAACATAATAGACATAGTGAAGTATAATAAACAGTAAATAGTAAAAAAAACAGCAATAACATAGCAATATTATAACAAAATAATACTATAAAGAAACTACACGAAATAATAGATAGTCACATAAATCAAAGAACAAGAAACTACAAGAGTAATTCTACGACTACCAGTAACGACACAAGACAAGACACTTTTGTCTACTAGAAGGTACCCACTCCTACATCCTAACCTTCTATTGTTATGCGTATCATCCACACCTTCCTATCTAAGGTCATGTCGTCGGTAAGCTGTAACAATGTCATGTCCTGTCAAATCATCTTTTTCCAATATTGCCAACTTCTCGCACCTCATACTGGGCATTTGTACATCTCACCGCATCCCCAAACTTTCTCAACCTCGCTTCCCGCATCTTGTCCTCCACAAAAGTCACCCCCACCTTGTCTCGGATATCCTTATGTTTAATTCTATCTCTGTTGGTATACCCAAACATCCAATTTCCATTTAGCACATTTAGTATCTGTTAGAAATTGTAAGTTCCTTTATATCATATTATCCCAGGTGAGGCAAGCTTCATATAAAAAGCTATCTAAGGGAAACAAAAAACCTTTAGGGACAGCTTAGGTCTCCAAATGAGTTTCCAAGTACAGCTGTCGATTAATGGAACCTGTGTAGATACCTCCACCATAATTCCCCCATTTAAGTCAATCCATAGACTTAAGGTTAATATTGTGTTACGGAAGTCTTGCATAGAGATCTAGCAACTCAATTATTTCTCAATCATAAATGCCTCTTCTGAATTTTATGTCCAGTTGGCCGCTTCCATGTATATAGTAATGACTTGATTGGGATTTTGTGTTATAGTGAACAAATTTGGGTATTCAGCTTGAAAAGTGAAATTGCCTAGCTATTTGTTCTTCCAAAATCTGACGTCTGCAACATTTGCAACTTCAAAGTGAATGTTCTATAAGACTTGTCTGCTACAAATATCTACAATTTAGGAGTTCCTAGAGAAATATTAATTTCCTAACATTAAGATTATATGTGCTCAAGTTTTGCAAAATTGAAGTATGAATGATGATGCCTAGATTATATTTGAGGGACTATATGTGCTCAAGTTTTTCAAACATAAAGGACAATTGATGTTCAGAGTTGTATTTACAGGGCAAAGTTAGATTTATTCCTAAAGATGTGAGATAATTTTACAGAAAACTTATATTATAATACTAAAAAGTAGCTGTTAAGTCAAAGATAAAAAGTCAAATTTAAATTACTTTTGCGTCAAAAAATAAAAAGTAGTGGGAGACCTACTTTTGGTTCTTGATTTATTTTAAGTCATTTAAAACTTATGTTAAATCATTTTTTACCTTGCCAAACACTTCCTAATTTTTTTAAAGTTATTTTTTATATTGAAAAACACTTCCAGAAGTCAACTATTGACTTAAAAGTAGGTTTGACCAACTTTTAAGTCGATTTAAACATCTTCTAAGCAAGTAGCTCTTTGGCAACTCAAATAGCCAGTACTATTCTTGCTTGCAAGAGAGTTTACATTGTTTGTTGCTGGTTGTATGTCTAGGTTATAAGTAGTGGTTACTCCTTTTGATGAAATAAATGACATGGATAAAGAACATAATGAAGAAATAAAAACTTGGTAATGGATTTCGGAGTGAGCTTTGACCATTCTAGTAGAGTTCTACCTTCTATATGTTCATTTTGGCAGTCATAGAACATTGACATAACATTCACTCAATGAAAAGCTAATGAAGCCATTGAAGTTTATCAATCTGATACTGATATCTAAACAACCACTTCATGAACACCCAATAGTGTGTGGCCTAGTGACCAATCAAGTGGATGTTAACCTTCGAGACTTGGGTTCAAATTTAAGTAGCGACAAAAATATTAGGTGATTTCTTTTCATTTTCCTAATTCTTGATGGGAAGAGTCAATTGGTACTTGTATTGGTGGGTGGTAGCAGGTATGCAAGGGAATATTTAAATTCTGAGCAAGTTGGTCTGGACATCAGTGCTGTGACTAAAAAATAAGCAGGGGCACCCATATGAGAACCTATAGTTGTTAACTTTAGTGTTACAAATTGAACATGATTTCTATAATAAACAAAACATGAATAATATTTTTCTTGATGACTGTGATGAACATGAATAACTTTAACAGGAAAGGGATTGCGTATATATCAAATGTTGCGGTACAGATAATATACCGTCGAAAATGGATAGCAAAGAAGCTTGTAATGAAAGCAGAGGCACAAGCCAAGAGCTGGGGATGCCGTGCAATTGCTTTACATTGTGACACTAGCAACCCTGGAGCCACAAAACTGTATATAGGACAAGGCTTCAGAATCATCAAAGTTCCAGAAGGGGAAAACTGGCCTCAACCCAGGACTTCCCCTAATATCGAGTTTGTTTTCTTGATGAAATTACTGGACGTATAAGAGAGTTTAGTAAACTATTGGGGATGTGTGGTACTTGTATATATGTGTGTGTGAAATTAAGGGAATAAGGTATAGTTGTAATCATTGTGTTAGTTTAGTTGAAATTTCCCCTTCACAAGTTTCATTTGTACACTAAGATTGCATGCTTGCCATGCCAATGGTACTTGATTTATTACAGAGTGAAGTTATAGTTACACTTGAAGTCTTTTTTTTAAAACTCTATTTCACATAATCTTCACTGAGAATTAAAACTAATTTTACCATAGCTTTTGTTCACTCTTAATGTTTGTGAAAGGTTTTTTACCCCAAAAGGAAGTAGAATGATTATTGGGATAGGGGAACAAAAAAAACAAAAGTTGAGCACTATTTTGTAGTTTCATTGTCTCTTCAGAAGAGAACGCAGGATTTGAGAACTTCGGGTATACTGCTGAAAAATGGCTTTTATTGGATTTGAAGTCTGGTCTCACATTCGTTCCTCTGTCTTGTACCAACGGCACAAGGCCACTCATAAGTTTTTTATGGGTGCACTATCAATTATATCATAGTTTACATAAGTTTTTCAAGATAGATATGCATATATATAAATTATTATTTTTTCAAAATTAACATGTGCAATTGCAACCCACTTATCTTCCTATGTGATTATTTTCCACACACATTTCATTCTCATTCATATTTAATTCACAGATGCTGATGATATGAGATAGTATTAATCAATGTATTTGCAATTTTATTTAACTATTTATGTAGAAACAAAATTTCCACTTGATTGCTTCATTTTGTAATTCATTTTTACTAATTGGATGGTCATGTATTTTTAATTCTGGAAAAAATAGAGGAAAGAGAATTATATTCTCGAGAACAACAAAAAATAAAATCGAGGTTAATGATTGGTTTATGAAATGAATATGTTATAAGCTTTACAAATAAAAAAATAACAAATAAAATAATAACTTATTTTGCTATTTTTGTGATGAACAAATGAAATACTTTACTTTTTTTTAATCATAAAGTTGAGTTTGTTGGTTTGGAGCAGGTATTTAAAGAAAAAAAATATTAATTTCTCTGATAGGAATACAACATGTAAAAAAATAATTTCAAGGGAATGCTTTTATCAAGTTTGAAGAGCATTAAACATGTTTTGACATTATCCACTGCTAGTTGTAGAAGAGGTGCCCTACTGAGTCGGGCAACCTACTGGAGTTGCTAAAGATTCAGGCTGAGTCTGCTAAAGAACATCCTTGTCCTTACTTGAGTCCTATGGACAATCGCTCAATTTATGACTCATCTTGGTACATCAGAAACATCCATCACTATTGACCATACATTCTCCTAGGTGGTTCTTACAACCCTTGTGACAAGTTGGGAATATGCGACTACTAGTGTCAATGACATAGGAGTTGAGAATCTTATCTAAACTTGGGCTCTTAGCCACTAGCAAAGTATGAAACTGGACTTGAATACTTCTGACGAAACTAAAAGCAATTACCACCGCCTCATTTTTTATGAGTAGTCCACACTGACTGTCTTAGCCTTTTAGTTTTCCCTAACACTATCCTTAACTTTCTCTTCTTTGATCTATTGGGCATGACTCATCAACCAAAAGAAATATCTTTTATTAATCAACATTGCAGTCCTACACTCTTTCACTACAATCTCATATTCATCGGACACAAACTTACTCATGTGGGCTGGCCCCAGAGTCAACCACCATACTTGGAGAATACTAGGAGAGTTGAGTAAACTTCAAATGATACTCCTTCACTATCATATTCCCTTGCTTCATATTGATGAACTCATGGACTTTAGCTTCCATCAACTCAAGTGAAAAGAACCTATCCAGGAATGCAACCTCAAACTTTTCCCAGACCACTAGGTCTAAATTAATAGCCCCATCATATTTTCAGTGTTCGTACCAAATCTGAGCCACTCTTTTCAGTTGTTCCATCTGCACTTTTATCTGGAGTGACACCCATAATCTCAGTAATCTTCTGGATGCCCTCAATCAACTCTTCTGGATCCTCCTCCACCTTCAAATCGTGAAATCGGGGAAGGTTCATCCGAGTGAAATTCCTGACTCTAGCTACGACTGTCTTCCATTTTGTAATTGGATGGGCCTAAACTTGCCAATTGGCCTTCAGAGTCATGGTCTGGGCTAGTACTTACTTTTTTACTTTGAAAAAAATGACTAAGTTTTGAAAAAACGATTAAACTTATGATTTAAGAGAAATCGAATATCCAAAAGGAACCGAGTCACCACTTAATTTTTTGTAAAAAGCTAGAAAAACTTAAGGTTTTCAAAAAAAATTTAAACAGATAAAATCAATTTGAAATAAAAGAGTTCGAAGTTCAATATACATTACGAGAAGATGTTAGGCCCTCGAAATGTTTGCTAACTTGCGGTTGACAGACGATTTGAGTAAAGTGACTTTCAAACAACTTTTCAAATTTTAAACTAAAGTAAAGGATATTCATTTTTTATTTTATTTACTTACTTATTATTTTTAATTATTTTAATGGGGAATGAACTAAAAGGGGATTTTTTAAAGGAAATAATTCATAAAGTGCAACTAAAATAATAAGAGAAAAACTAAGTAATAAGTAAAAATATAAATATATTTAAATAAAGTATAAGAAAAAGAAAAAAAATGACTTCTTTTAGGGGGGTTTAATTAAATAACAACCAAAATAAAATAAAATAGTTAGTTAGTTAACACAATAAATATATACGTAAATAAGAGTAAAGGAAGAATAAGATTCAAACTTGAGCTTTTTGCCCCAATTCTAAAGCTGATGCAAATTTGGGCCAAATCAGGCCTTTTCTTCTTTGTTGAGCCTGCTGTATATACAAAATGTATCACACTATATATAGTCATTTTTAAGCTGTATATCAGCCTAATTTCTTCAACATCTTGTACGTTCTCTCCTTTCTTTTCAGTATTCTGCTGCGTTTACCCTTTATTACAATATTTTGCCCCGTATACCAGTGTATACAACAGGTATGCATCACATATGTAGCCCCTTTTTTAGGCTTTAGGGACTTGATAAGTCAACTTCCAGCCATGTATGCCTTTCTCGACACCTGTTCATCAGTTTCAAGGGTCGGCCGACTCGAAGGAAAGGGTTGAAGCCTTCGTGTCTCTCACGAAATGCGGGAAAAGGAAAATAGGAGTTCATGGTGAACTCAGGCAGACTTACATGGAACAAAAGAATGAGGAAAAGAATTAGTAAACAAACATAATAGGAGCAATAACGTATCTAAAACCATTTATCGTAACAACAACTGAATTAATATGCAGCAAATAACTCGCTTCGACCAAACAGTGAAGATCTAATGGAGGAATACAAATTCTAATGATACTAACAACCCAAATCATACCAATGACAAAATAATGACTACTTACAATCAACAACAAACATTATACCCTCCAACGAATTTAATAAAAAAATTGCCTATTAACAAGTAGTACTAACTGTTAAGAGCAAAATCAATCAAATTCAATCAATATCATATGGAACACCATGATTGAGAGAGGACCAATTTTGAAACCAAACACTACTCAAATTGGATATGCTTTATCACATACAATAGAGAAAAAACACACAAAGAGGAACTTCTATGCGAAAATCGAACATTTGAACCATGACAAGAAAATAAAATTGAAACAAAAGGAAGGAACAAGGAGGGAGCTGGCTATTTTTCAAATCAAGGGTCAAAACCAAAAAGACATAGACATCATATTAGGCTTTACGAGAAGTTCACAAGGACTCACAATGTTAGTTAAACTTGAAACCTCACACCTATGTAAATAACCAAAATCAACAATAACAAACTAAATGAAGCACAACTAATACTTGCAGGTTTTTTAAACAACAGAAAGCCAATTCAACACAAAATTAAATAAATGAGGAAAATAAATAGATAAACTTGAATAGCGAAACACATAATCAACCTAACTGAAGCTAAAACGAAAAACTTTAAGCTCAATATTAAAACAAAACTCAATGATAATCACAACCATGACCACTGGTAACAACCCCACAACACTAGAAACACCATGTCAAAAATAAAGAAGATGAAGGGAGTATCATGCCGGAGAAGGCGTTATCTTTCTCTGGGCAGCTAAACTGAGACAACTGAAGAGCTTGGAGGGCAGCGACTTCCGACGACTCCGAGAGATTACGATTAACAACTACATTCGGAAAAAGAGAACACAACCTAAACACTCACTGTTAATATTGGTGGACTTTTGGGTCTGTATTTCACGGTATACTTTACTTTTCTTGAATCCAAATTTTCCAACTAAAAATTTCTAACTTTTCTTCCCAATCCCCAAACAATGAAGAAGGAGGGGATATTTATAAGGGGAGATATAAGGCAGAAAGAGGGGGAAACCGATTGAATTTCGAATTCTCTTCAAGGGATAAGGCTGCCAGCTCGAATGAGTACAAGTCTCAAAAAGAATAATGATGAAGTTGCTTGATTCTCGAGCAAGGAGGAGTGAGATGCAAAGATGGAGACACCTCAGGATTTGAGTACAAGTAGATAAGGACAATAGGAGAGGGATGCGGAGCTGGGTTTGAGATACTGGTTCGCGATTCGTGTCGCGATTTTCTAGGTTTCTTTGGGTTAACTGTTGGAGGAGAAATAGAACGCGTAGGTTCTGGGCTCGGGTTGGATCTCGTTTGGTATTGAAAGGCTGGGAGTTTTAAAAGAAAAAATGGGCTGATGGGTTTGTCTCGTGGGAAATGGGTCCAAAATTAGTTTGGGTTGCTGGAAAAGGTAAAAAGGGCCCGAAACTTGGTTATCAAAAGGGTTGAAGGGATTTTTCTAATAACTAAATAAGATGAATTAATATAATATAAATTCATTAATGAGTTTTTTAATCTTAACGAAATAAAATAATTAACTTAATTATAAATTAATAATTCAAAATTATAACCATAATGTTAAGCTAAACTTATTTAATAAAATACTTATTAAAATTAAATTTTTTTTGAGATCATATTAGAATAAAAAATAATAATAATAATTACATAGACAATTATCAAATACTATAAAAAATTGACTAAAATTACTTGAAGTAACCTCGAAAAATATTTGAATTATATAAAGCTAATTATACTAAATCGTTTGAGAATTAAGAAGCTCGTGAATTAATTTCTTATGGGAGAGGGTCAAAAATTGGGTGTCTACACTTACAAAGCAGCCTTGCGCAGCTAAAGGTTCTATGGGGGTTGATGGTGATGGTTGGGCCCCCATTCATGTGCATTCTAAGGTACGCTCTTCTGTGAAGCATGATTTTGTGAACGTGTACGAGTACAAATTAGAAGGAAGATGATTAGATTTTACACAATAAGAATATGAATGAAGTGAAGTATTTCTTAAAATGTTTCCTAGCCTCCTAATAATAGATGTGTCATGCTTCATACCCATGAACAAGACTCTGCTTAACGCGACTTTTAGACAAGGACACTTGAATCAAATGCTATGAAACCGAGTTTGTCACGATCTAAGATTACCCCTATCGTAACATGGTGTTTAGATCCAGAAGTGACCCTAAGCTAACCTAATGTTCTAGCATGACACTAGAGTATACACAAGAAAATGTCTAGAGATAACTGAAATACTAATGCAGAACTAAAATTCAAATAGTCTATCAAAAATCAAATAGATAAATGTCTGAATAAAATATAAGGTGAAATAAAACCAACTGTCTAAAATCCTCGACTAAGGTGAGTTGTTAGGATAAATCTCTAGCTAATTCTTATTGGAATGTATGCGTCCACTTACGTTGATGGGACCAGCTCCTCAATATAGTAGTAACAGCAAATAAAGAACATATACAGAAAGTAAGGATTGACAAGCAACTTTACGTGGAAACCTCCTTTCTCAAGGAAGAAAAACCACGACCTGTTCTCAACAGGAATTTTCAAAACCACTTCTACTAATCTTCAACAAGTTAGAGTAAAAGTTGGTCACAACAAGAGATTATCCTACTAATCTCCACACTATGTAATACTTCCTATCACTTAGCTGAGTCTGAGAAGATACAACACTGCTCTCTATACTAATCCTACCTGATTAACATAGGCTTGAAGTAAAGCCCTACGTTAACCTTGACCCAACCCTTACAATGATTCACCCGTGTTTGAAACATTTCTTTCACAATTATAATATAATAACAATTATAAGCAAGAAAATACAAGTAAAAAAAGCATCAAACACACTTCTATCAGTTCCCTTGCTGTTCTTGAAGCTTGAATATCTTTCTTTGAATGAATGAATAAAATGAGTTGTTATTGGTTTGATTTATACCATGAAGAGTTATTACCCATCAAACAAACAACCTCATCACACTCTGCTATTTCACCAACTTCTTGACGCAGACAACTTTTATAGTTGTCCAGTACTTTTGACAACTGGACGAGTTTCATACTCTGCAAAGGACCAGGTCCCTGCACTTGTGAGGAGATCATCAAAACATCTAGGAGCATAATCACATATCAATTTCCTTCCTTTTTGATGATGACAAAAAACCTGCATTACTTCTCACACATTCATCCAAAACAATCAAATAATTCCCCCTTAATCAGTTCCCCCTGAATACAATCAATTTATTCCCCCTTAATTAGTTAATTAGTCTCCCCCGAATCCCTTATTCAACCTTAAACAAAAACTTCACCCTTTTGACATCATTGGAAAGGAGAGACAACAAACATATGCAAATTAGAACATCATCCAAACAAGAGATTCTAGGGCTATGGCCACACAGAACATTTGTATGAAAGCATACAGAGATAATAGTAAGTGCACATGAACAAGGAAGAGAACAGAAAGAGCATTATCACTAATACTTACTGTTTTATCGAAAAAATGTATTTCAAAAAGAGTTTGTTTTATTTTAAAGGTATTTTCGACTTTTAGGAGTCGCCACTTAATTTTTTAAGAAAAATCAAGAAAAACTTATTTCCAAAACAACTTAAACAGAAAAATTGTTTGAAAATATTTTAGGGGGTTCAGGATTCCTATTAGTGTCTTAGGAAGGTGTAAGGCACCTAGGACACTCCGTTAAACACGATTTTTCGGCGATTAACAATATTTGACTATTTTGTTTTAACTTTTACAAATCGAAATTTAAACTTTATCAGAATTTACTTAACCAAACTTTGCAAATTTGGAAATATTTATCTTGCAAATTATCCTTAAAGTTAAAGCTCTCTAAACTCAAACGGACTTGTGAAATTTTATTGTTTTAAGATTTCGTTAAAGCTAATTTTTTTTTTATTTTTTAACTTTAAATCTAAGCAATTTTCAAAGTTAAATCTCTATTGCTTTAAAGTTTCAATTTTAGTTTTTAAGTTGATAAAATAAAAGGCGTCGATGGGGGTTTGGAGTTTCCTAATCCTAAGCTAACGACATTGAAAACAAAACAAGATAAGCAAATAGTAAAGAGAGAGAGAGAGAGAGAGACTCGGGTCCAACTTCGGTCCTGTTCGCCTTGACCGAACGTTGGACCCACCTGCTTTTGGGTATTTGACCCATTTTTTACCTGTCCTAGTCTAAACATATAAAATAATTACAAGAAAAATAAAAGGGACAAGGGCTTATGCCCATTACAAGAAAAATATAAAATGTAAAGTAAGGAAATCTTCTAATCCATTTTGGATTTTCTTCAAGGTTCTTCAATCTTCGCGATCCTTGACGGGTTGACACGGAGGGGATTACAAGTCTTTACGACTCTCTGTTAACGAAAAGGAGCGTGAGTTCATGATGGAACTCGAGCGGGTTTACATGCAAAACAATGAAAAGAGTTAATATATATATTTCAACCAGCACGTATGCAGAATGGAAAGAAACAAATAATAAAAAAAACATTATTATCCAAGAAAGACGCACAATCAGCAAACCATCCCGTATGATTTAAAAAGGAAACCGTAAATTATGCTTCAGACACAAAGAAAAAGCAGAATGTATTGATGGCCACCCATTGATTCAACACAGAAAATGTCACATTGGATAAATTATACCACTACTATCAATACATTAAAGGCTATTATGCAAAGTCAAACCCAATAAAAGGAAATTTGGAACTTTAGGCGATCAACGGTCATTAACCAAATTAAACAGAGATAAAATACCTACACTGAAAACCTTAATACGCTTCATAACATTTTGGAACCATAGAGGATAAAACCATGGTTAACAGACGCTAATTCCGTATGACTTGAAGTCACTAAGACAAATAAACTTTTCTTTCTAATCATACAGTATGCTGTGATGGATGAAGCAAAAATGAAAAGAATAGATAAAATTTATATATACATGATAAAGAAAACAAACAGATTCCTTGGACATTAAGGGAACAATTGATTAGTCTAACTATGATTTGAGAATATACGCTCTCTTTTTTTTTCTTTTTTTTAAACAAAGAACAAACCTAATATTATAATATACCCAACATGGAATTTGCACATTAGAGAAACGTACAGTTAACAGAAGATGTAAACTTTAGGCAATAAGGAGAGAGGTCAATATACAACTGCATATTCCCAAGATAAATTGTTCCAAAAAAAACACAAAGCTTTCAAGACAAATCTGCATTCCATCAAAAATTAGTTCGATTCTAAAGTGACCAAGTTGAATTTAGACATCATTATTCATTCCTTCCACTTGAGATGAAAGAATAAAGGATATGATATCGAGTTCTTAGCATCCATTCAAACTCAACTACGTATAAGAAAATATGCTCAAAATAGAAGAAAAAGAACGCAAAACACATCTTCGTTAGAGTCTATGAACCTCTAAACTACAACCCAACAACATGTTCATTCGAGTAAACTAGACAAGAGCACTTGAAGTTGTAGAAATGAATTAAAAAAACAAGTATACTCAAGCACACATACGCAGTAAGGTCAACCTAACAATAACGAACAAACTAAAAGGCACACAACAGACGTTCTCCGCCCTCAAAACATCCATCGAAACCAAAAAGAGAAGGGAATTTCATAAAAATGTGTTTACATGTCGAGAAGCAGCGAACAGGGAGAGACGAGCAGGAGCGATACAAACTTCCACATGCGAACCACGAAC